AAAAGATGTGTTATTTTAGAAGTAACTTTTTTGACAAAGAGAAAAAAAAAAGAACAAGCTAAAAAAAGTTGAAATGAAGAGCTTTTTTTGCTGACTGACCCATAAATGTCAATAGATGGTTGATTAAGAAGAGGACAAAAACTTAGAAAATCTGAATCACAGATTTAACGACAATTAACAGCAGCTTAAAAAAAGCCTTTGTCAACAGCGATGAAAGGGTGAGGGAATAAACAAGCGAACAGGCAGACGAACTGACAGACGGATAGATAGATTAATTTGAAGCAGTTGAATACTTTCAACCCATAGTTTCTGAGTACTTGCGGTGTTTAACAGATGCTTTTAGACTTTACGGCTTTAGTTATTCAACAATTTCAGCATCGCTAAAACACTTTTTTTAGCTATTTCACTTATTTTTCATTTTTTCTTGAAGTTTTTTTGTCTTTTTCTTTCTTTAACATTTCTGTGGTCGTTCTCTTTCTCACTTCTTTCTTTTTGTTTCTTTCAATTTTTTCTTACATGGCGATTTAATCGTTCAAAAGCTGATTATGCGGTAAGAAAAAAGGATTAAGATGGTATAATGTATGGACGCCGCTGCTGTTGCTAGTATGATTTCTGATGCTGTTTTTTACTTAGCGCTACTGTAAGTAGAAACTTCGTCGCTGATTAGATTTTAGCGAATATAACTATTGTGCCTTATAGGCTCCCACTGCAGCCTCTCGTCATCGTTATAGTCAATATAATTATCATCGAGTGTTATGATAATTGGATGACGCGTAATGATATAAAGAACAGAAGCTTAACCGGAGATAACAATCTTCAACTTTTAGCCCAAGAAAAACGAAAAAAAAACGCAAAAAAAAAGAGATATAAAATTGCTGTTGTTCTCTTTTTTCCTATGCTGTCTTAAGAAGAAAAATTTTTCAAGGCCACAGAATCTGTTGACAAGATTCATTCAACACCATATATCAGCAAAGATAGCTGAGAAAAAAAAACAGCTAATTCTCAAACATTTTACAACCATGACTGCAAGCCAATAACCCATGTATAAGTCATCAAAATTATAATTATCAAAAAAAAAGTGTATTTAACATCACTCAGATTATTCGTCCAAATGCTTGAATATTTTGATCATCATTGGCAAGCTTCAAAAAACTAACAAATATTTGCTTTCCTTACCCTGTATATAAATAAATCTTCTTAGAATTCCCCATACCCAATTCACTGGTGTACTTGAATAATAGTGAGAAATGAAGGCAACAAAAAAAACTTTTTTTATTTATACCAAATACTTTCTTCTTCATTTTTTTCTCCTTTTTAGTTTTTTTTTAATAAAAGCATAACTTATAAAGTTCTACAAATTGCATTGGTATACAAAGATAAGGCATACAATTAGAGATGATGAATGGCATAAAATGATAGATTTAGACTGGTAAAAAGTAGAAAATTTCAAAATATTGTCAT